TCACACAAGTTATTAAAATAATTACTAAGCTATTTTGAGGTAACTTGAAGCTTTCTTTAAAACTTAAATCCAAATCTGGAGGAATTAGTGTGAATGATTTGCATTGATGACAACCCAAGTATGGCAGCCAGCTTTCCCGGGCACATCCAGCAGTGCAGCACCCCCAGGTGCTCCCTCAGCCCTGGCAGGGACTGAGGGGGGATTTCTGAGTGGGATTTCTGGCTGGGAGGGGGTTTGGGGCAGGAGTCTGGGGATGCCCTGTGTTAGAGATGCTGTGGCTCACAGGGGGCTGCAGAGGGGCTCGTGCCAGACCCACAGAGCCCCAGAGCAGCACCAGTGGGACCCACAGCATCATCCTGCAATGCTCAGCCCTGGTCCTGCTCCAGGGAAAAGGCAACCCCTGCTGCAAGCCCCCACAGGTCCCCAGTCCCTCTGGGAGCAGCAGCTGCTCCAGGCTCCATGGTGTCACTGCCAGGGGCCACCTGGACCTGGGGACTGCAGGACACTCATCCCCCAGTGCAACCCAAGCAGGGGCTAACGCAGACCTTCCTCACCGGCTGCCAATGGCCCTTTGTGGCCTGAAAGCTGGGATTTGTCACCCAGGCAGGGCAGCAGTGGGTGCACAGTCCCTGCAGGGATCCATCTCCACAAGTATAACCCTGGCAGGTGAGCCAGGGATTGGGGATCTTTCCAAGCTGGCTGTAAGCACAGGGCAGTGGGAAGAGAGGGAGGACGTACCAGGGGCTCGTTTCCTGGTTGTACTTTAGTATCATCAACCTTTCCAAGAGCTAACTTCACAGAGAAGCGGGGATCCCAGAGCCCTGGGTTGCCCCATTAATCCCCAGCCCACCCTTCAGAGGGGAGCACACTGCTGGCAGACTACTATCCTTCCAGATGTAATCATGTTTTAGCATCTTACTTCGGAATTTTAACGGGTGAAAATTCCCCATGTCAGTGCGAGATTGCATCATGAATTCCCTCTGCCTCGTGCAGCAGGGATGGAAAAATACTACTTTTCATCCCTGCACAGTGCTTGATGTAAGTTTCTGAAAATGAGCGCTCTAGTAAGCCTAAAAATGTAGGATAATATGATTCATTTATAGATCTCTGATAATAGATGTGGTTTCTGTTACTCCGTTACCACACCAAAGATTACTCCTGCTCCTTCAGGAAGGACACAGCACCCTCCTCCTCCTGAACCATTACCATAAAGCAGGATAAACAACAAATACCACCTTATCATTAGCTGCATGGAGCAGTTCCCATTGATTTATGACGCCAAACACCGCAAGGCTGGATCAAGCTGCAAGTCCCTTTTTTGCAAACATTATTTCCACAAGACCGGTGTAAAATACAAGGAGCTGCCTCACCTGGGCTGGGTTTTGTTTACAAAAAAAAAAAAATATTTTACAACTTGCAGGAATTCTTCCCAATATTAGTTATTAACAACCCCAAGATGGCATTTGCATTTTTATAACCTTGTTACTTAAAAGTGAGACAGCGGAAGGAAAGACTTGGCGCTAGCGTTCCCTGCGTGCTTTAATCCCAGCCTGAGCTTTTTATGCTCGAGAGCACCTTGTGATGCTGTAACTAACCTCAAACCCGGAGCAGCGGGAGGGCAACAAACCCCCGAATACAGCAATGTCATGCTTTACAGGCGTACTCTCCGCAACAGCATGAATGGAGAAAAAAACCCCGGTTGCCAAGGAAACGCTCCAGTCCGGGTAATTATTACAGTAACTGTCTGCACACCCCACCTATAACACAAATGAATAATAAATCAGCCGCTGACTGGCAGCTCTCCGCGGCCGCGCCCGCCGCCGCCCCCTCCCGGCCGCCGCCCGCACCTGCAGCCCGCGCAACGGCCGCGGAAGGGAAGGGAAGGGAAGGGAAGGGAAGGGAAGGGAAGGGAAGGGAAGGGAAGGGAAGGGAAGGGAAGGGCTCTCAGCGCACCCGGGAACGATTTGCTGGGCTTGATTTAAAAGACGCAGCGGGAGTTGGCAAAATTCACGTATCGTGGGGTTAATGTGGGTTAGAGAGGAGCTATTTGTAACGCAGAGACGCTGCATTCCAAACACACACATCTGATTTCTTTTAATCCCAGCTCGTTTTTTGCGGCATAAATCACTTAGTTAAAATGAACAGCCAAAACAGCTGGTTTAGACATTCGTGAGACATCCAAAAATCTGCTGCTTTAGATGCCCTAAGCGAGCGATGGAAGGCGCGAAGTGCAGCTCACCTTATGAGATGGATCAGGTACCTCAGAACCGGCTCCAGGCCCCACCGGGCAGGGCCGGGCCTCTCCTCCCGGCACAGGGCACGGAGCACTCGGCATCCTCTGCTCCTCCCGGCCCAGGGCACGGAGCACTCGGCATCCTCTGCTCCTCCTGGCACAGGGCATGGAGCACAGGGCATCCTCTGCTCCTTCCTGCGGCTCCCCCAGCCAGACCGCCAGCCTGGGAGCGAACACCTCACACAGCGAGGCGCTCCCCGCGCAGCCCCTCCTCTGGGTGCAGGCAGGTGCCCAGCACACCTGAGGGCAATTAGGAAGATTAAAGAGCAGTAGTTTCTCCCGACGGGTCATTTGCCGTGGCTAATTGAGGCAATCAGCGCAGAGGGCAGTGAGGGGCGGTGGGACACACGGCCCAGGCTGGCTGTTGCCACTGCTCTGTCCCCAGCACTGTGCCCACCTGGCACTGCCACCTGTGCCCGGGCAGCAGGGCACACTGACAGCCATGGGGGTCCTGGCTCAGTGTGCATTCCTGTGCCACCGTGGTGACCAGCTGGCCCAGCCAACACACTCTGGCTCAGGACACACCAAAAAGCCTTTGGGAGCACGGGGAAAGCCAAGAGCCCTCCCTCAGCCCTGTGCCCAGAGCCCTCAGCAGACACGGAGCCTTCCAGCAGCTCGGACTCACCAACAGAATTTCAGAATTAAAATGCACCCTTATTATCGCCTAAGTGAACAAAATCCAGAATGGCAGCACTTGGGGTAAAAAGTGCTATTAAAATGTACGCTTATTGTTACTTCAGTGAATAAAATCCAGAATGGTAGCACAGGGGGCAAAAAGGCATATGAAAATTAATTTACCCCCAGGAGCCCTTCATGCCTCCATGCTGGGGATCTGTTGCTCCATCCCATGTTTACTTTACCCATTTGTTGGTCACCTGCAGCACTTCTTAGCTCCAGTGCTGCAGAGAAAGCAAATTTTAGGTCCTCACGGAGACAGGCCTTCACATGATTGCTTTTTACTGCTTGGATTTTTATCTGCTTTGATAGATTTAAATTTTTTTGTTGTTGTTTGGTGTTTGTAAACATTCTATAAAATGCCTACAGCCATCTCTCTTGCTCTAGGCACTGCAAGTGAGTCTGCTGCTGAAGCCCAAGTGAAGAGAGGGAAGACGAAGGCTCATTCCAGCCCGAGAGCCCTCTGACAATTAAATATACTGCAGAAAGGCACAGACACACTCAGGCTCCCTATTAGGGAAAACACTCATGTGCTTAGTTTTAAGCATGCGGTTAAATCCATTCTTCTTTACAAAATCTCTGAGACATAAGCACATGCCAAAGTGCATTCCTGAGTAAGGATGCTTCCCTGAACTGAGGCCATAATTCATTAAGACCCAAGGTGCATTTATCCTACTTTTTCTCGTGAGCAGAGATGTGAAAAAAGGGGAGGGGAGACAAAAAGAAAACAAGCAAAGAATTAATTTTGATTTGAAACTGATCTATGGTGACAAGGGGTATTTGGTTTGTTGAAGTAACTGGAAGCAGGAAGTATTTCAGAAGATATCTAAATAAATCTTTTTAAAGGGTTTTTTTCTCTCTCTTTCTTCCCCTTTCTTTCTTTCTCTCAGTTTTCCTCTAATTACCCATGTCTGGTAGTCTTGGATCTCAACCCCTTGTTATTTAAAATACATATTCATGGAACTATATTTTACAGTTGCACTGTTCTGGTTACAAAATAGCTTCTACTTTTCTAGGACATAATTTCATTTTGTTTAGCCAAGAATTCATTAAAGAAGCTATAAATAACCTCCTTTAAATATTTAGCCGTGAATAGAGGGTGGACTGGCATTGATGGCTTATTTTAGTACTAATGCAATATGCTTTAAAAAAAAAAAAAAAGTCCACATTTGAGCATGAATCAAGTTAATCATTAACACTTTCAACGTGACTCTGGGGCTGTGCTGGAGCGCTTGCCCCTCGCAGCTGGTGCGCTTGCGGGCGCAGCAGGGCTGCACAACTTTCCCTGCAGCTCTTCCTGCAGCCAAACACAATTTGCTCTGCCCCCAGGGGAAACGTGGCCCCCAGTTGTGGTGGGCTGCTGCCCCCCTGTCCTCCTGCTGCCACACTTGGCCAGAGTTTTCTGCCCATGAAACCACTGTGGCTTCCCAAACTCCTAGTGGGGATCCACAGAGTGCCTCTGCTTACTTTAGAAAGAGAAGTTCCAGTGCTTCCACCTCCCTTTCAAACAGAGAGAGGAGTGTTGAGACAAGGGGGAGCTGGTGGTTCTGTTCCAAAGCCACACCATGAGCTCATCTGCTGTGATCTGAGAGCAAAGGATCTGGGTACAAGGCGCAGTTATTTTAGGGGAAGGTGAGGAAACAGCATTATCTGCTTGCCAAGATTTGGAAAATCAGCTGCTGATGGCTCTCAGGCTCCCCATTTACAAAGTCACAGTCCCTCCTTACCCCTCCCAAAGTCTTCCTGCCTCGCCTTTTAGGCTGGGGCTTGATGGTGTCAGCTGGAGAGCACCATCAGTTTAAGGTACTCCAGCTCCCCATGCCCTCTGCCATCGTTTTCCCTTGTCCTTGCTCAACATGCAACCCCTCTAACTGTGCTGATACAGACATGCTGAGAGATTAGGAAACTCACTAGGTTCAAAAACCCACACACTAATGGAAAAAAAAAAAAGAAAGTAGTAGTTTGTTTGTAAAGCCTATCTCTGTCACTATCACTCAAGGGGTGGCTCCTACAACAAAAGCTGTGTCAGCAAAACGAGAGGATGGCAAGAAGATTGGAAGGAAGGAGCTGCTGGGCAGGGAATCCTGAAGCCAGGACTGCTCTCAGTTGACAAGGATACACCAAACTGTAGCCTGAGTGCTGCAGTGCTGTTGCATTTTGAAATAAAGCTGAAGCATTAAGACATTTTTCCTTAGTGCTGACTCCCTCTGGGCATTCCCAAGACAATTACAATGTTTTCTGAGTACACAAAAGAACTAGGAGATTTTGTAATCAAGAGTCTGAGTTTATGCTTCTCTCCTTAAGAGCATTCAATTTCCATGGACATTCATTAGCAGGAGGTTAAAACACAATGGCAGAAGAGAATGGACTGCTTTTATGTCCATGTGGTAGTAAACACTTCAAGCTAGAAATGCAAGTTCAAAATAAAAACCTCTCTGTGGAGCTTCCAAATTAGTAGTAAAGCAACAAAAACCACACCAGTTTCACAGCTTTTTTACTGAAAATTTAATTTTACAAAATACCCTTTTCCATCAAAGAAACTTCCCTGCAATGTACATGAACCTGGCATTTTATAGACCTGTACAGTGAGATATCAGAGAGGTTTGAAAGAAGGAAAAAAACTTTTAGCAGACACCTAGTTGCAAAACCTACAGCAATGTGAATACAAGTGTGTGTTAAAATGCTAAAGCAAGTAATGTAATATAATTGGTGAATCTATTTGAAATGTGAAAAGTTTCCTTAAAATGGTCCATATGGTATGTAGAACATCACAGCTGGCACAAAACTGCCTGTATTTAGTTTTAAACACAAAAACAATGTATGTAAGGAACAGTTTTTGAAAAAAGAACCCAAGTGCTGCTATCATAAGGCAAACATATACAAAGGTGCTGACAGCACACAGGGAAACCGACAAAATAAGATGAATACTCAAGTGTTCAAACACTGAACTGTTTGTTTTCCTAATGCTGCCAGCAAACGTTGAGGAGATAACGGTGCCAAATTACCACAGGACACTCTGGTAATGCTGGGTGCTACAGAGAAGCCTTTATACCATCTCCAGAGAGGTGAAGGCAGGCAAGAGCGCTCGTGCTTGGGCTCAGCAGCACCTACTGAGTCTGCTGCATCCTGGCAGCTCTGAATTTGGAAATCCTCTTGACAGGCTCTTCTGGGGCGTCGGACAAGAGCTCCTCGGATTTGCGCTCCAGAATGGTGGGCAGCACTGGGTGAGCCAGCACTGGGTGTGGCATTGCGGAGGGAGACAAAGGCTCCTTTTCTATGACAGTTCCAGAAAATGCCTACAACAGAACAGAATACTCAGAATGAGCTAATAAAATGCAAATGTGAAGCTATGCCCATAAGGTCATTACCCTATATTAGCCTGATTAGAATTGTTATTTCTTCTAATCAAAAGTAAAGAAATATCCTTAAATCAATGATTGTTGCCTGCATAAGTAACCACATTGTAATTAACCTCAAAATATAGCTTGTTCAAGGATGACTGAATGAAAGACAGTATCTTAAAAGTACTACTTAATCTCATTCCTTCTGCATAAATGATGTAAAAATTTGCTTCCTCACTGACACATGCTTGAGAAATCAAACAGCTGATGTAATACACAGTTTTATTTTGGATATAAAATGGAGAGACTTTTGCAAAGTTGATGTCAGCATTTCCATCATACGTCATTTTATGACTTAGAATCTTCTAATTACATCAAGCATTGCATATGAACTAGCAAGCACATATTTTGATTCTTCTCTTCTCCCTACCAAATATGATCAAAAAATGGTGAAAGCCATTTATATTTAAGAGAACAGCAAACTTGCTTCCAACTATTTCTCTCTATAAAAGGCCTAATAAAAACATCTAATGTTTAAAAATTGTAATTTATATGCAGCCAATTATGTGACAATCCTTTTCAACTTAGCAAAGAAATGACCATGATTCTTGGAAAACAAGCAGCTTAGAATTACTTTTCATAAACATATTTAAGAACAAATCACTCCACTATGTATTGAAAACAGAGAATTCAGAATGCCCAAGGACAAGGGGAAGCAGTTCATATCCAAGGTCTGATGCTCATGCTGGGCACAAAGGAATGCACACCAGATTTAGTCACTATGCTTAGTTCTGCTTTTTCATAACTCAGTTACCAACAAAGACAAAGCAAAACAAACAGGGCATTCTCTTGCTGGACCTGCAAAAAAAGCAGTGTTTTTTGTTTTCTGCTCCAGTAGCCCAAGTGTGCCTAAAGCTGTGCTTGTACAACTCTGTTAATCTAACAAGAAGCTCATTTTCAAAAAACAGGTAAGCAAAGCACAAACTAAGTGATGGTGGTAAAATTAGAAATAAAAAAAAATTTAGCGTGTTGCAAATGGTAATGGAGAAGTAATGGATTTCAAACACCCACAAAAACAACCAAAAGCAAAACAACAGCATTTAGGGAAGCACATCTGACTGGAGTGTTTTGCTTAATCTCCTTCAGTTGCTTAGAAAATACATTACATTGTAGAGAATAATCATGCCAGACTCAGGTAATAGACTGATGGGTAACATCTAAAGTGTACTTAGATGTTTTATAAGAATATAGCAAATATATTCCAGAAAGTATACAATGTGGAGTGCTAACTCCATAGATAAATTTTCCATCATGAATCTTCACATCCTGCCTGGATTCATCTGAAGCTGTTTGCATGAAAAATGGTGATAAACAACAGCTTTTATGAGGAATTCATTTCTTGTCAAAAATAATTTTTGCAAAAGTAGTGCTTTCATTGAACTTGTCCACTGCACTGGGAACTACTGAAGACTCAAGTTTCATCTAGTTTGAAAAAATTAGTGTTAAGCTGTTACAAAACAGAAATGAATGCGCTATGCCACGAATCTCTACATTTAATTCCTGTATTCACCCAGTCACTAAGCAACTGTACATCTTCCCTTACATTGTACAGTCTCTCTTTTATGATGAAGCCCTGAACTTTCCAAACACATGTAAACAGATTTGTTTGGGATCCCTAATGGCTTAGTCTGGAATAGGATGAGTAGGGGTGCAATGCTTCCTTCCACCAGGCAGTTTCTCTGCTATTGGCACATCAAAATAGTAATTCAGCTGGTATCTATTTTTAAACTTGAAACACTCCTTGAAAATTAGCTGCCTAGTAGTGCAAGACAGGTTAGAGAGTCACCTCTTCCTTTGATCAGTTACAAAGTACAGATTTCCCTCTTTTTGTCTAAAATGCTGCTGTGTCTCCTGCAGTGAAGTGGTCAGGGTGACCCAGCACACAGGTTTTAGTAACACCAGTGAGTGAGCACTTTGCTGGATCTTTATGGAAGAGCTTCAAGCCTTGGGGAAGCCACGAGGTGAGCAGCTCCTCCCCTCTGCCCCTAGGATGCGTGTGACAGAGGCCTGTCACCTGCTATGTCCTTCTGAAGCAAACCAGGCAGGAGTTAGAAAATTATTTTAAAGAAATAAAACTGATGGTATAGACAACCAGAGTCATTAGATTTCTCATTTCTATCCCAGCCAACAATCAATAATGAATTAAAAACTGTACCTCAGTTGTCCCTGAAGAGGGAGGAAGCTTTTTCGGTAGCTGCTGCTTCTCCTCCCCCTCCTCTTCCTCGAGGATGCCTTCACTGTTGTCACTCTGAGTGGCTTCATCACAGCTAACACTCCTCTGAACTCGTCTGTCATCAAACTCAGCAGCACTGTTCTCACTGGTATCGCTGCAAACACTGTTCTCTCTGCTCCGGGACTTCAGGATTGATTTACGAGGGACATATTCTCCATTCACAACATCAACAAAGTATCTATAAAGGAAAATGTTAGCTTTAATAAACCATTTCAGCATCAGATGACAAATTTACAGCGATCTTGCTTTGTCTTTTGTACAAATTAATTATGATGTGCTTTCCCAACTTTTTCGCTGCAGAATGACAATACTGTACCTTCAGTGGCACTTTATTTACCAGTGTACAAGAATCAATTCTGCAGAGTGAATGCTGTTATGCCCTTTATTCAAGCATTAAGTTGGTACTTATTTTCAGCAGAAAATGCATAGCTCTTTGAAAAATGTTACAAAATAGAAAGGTGTGAGTCAGAAAAAGTTAGGAAAAAGGTAAATTGAATGATGACCAGGGTTGTTTCTGTAAAGAGATTCAGATCACAATCTGGGAATGTTTTCTGGAGTTAAGTCCTTGTCATACGTAGAATACAAAAACAAATACTTGAAACATTCATTGCACATGGAAAAGATGGAGCTTTCTCCTGACAAGTGTCATAATCTGCTTTCAATTAGAAACAAAATTTTAAAAATCAGCTTATAAGATCAGATCAACAGGAAGACACTTTTCAAGTATTAACAGACTGTGAACTGACAAAGATGGCTCTTGTGCTCCCTCTCCATGACTTGAGAAAGTCAAGGGTGGGTGGAGGAGAATGAGAAGACAATGCCAATTTTATCAAACTCATAAAGGAGGAGCCCAATGACTGGATGATTTTAAGGGTGTTACTTGTTTCTAACAGCTTTATTCATCAGGCACTTAGGGAAATACATCTCTACAGAAGATGGAATTTGCAGAGCTCAGGGGGAGGAGCACCAAAGAATCTTTTGCTCATCTTCAGCCCCTGCAGCTGCAATTACAGGATGTGGTTTCACTTTTAACACTTTGTAACATGTTTAACATATTTAGGTACCCAAATACAGACACATACAGTGGAATTCTCACAACCACTTAATCAACCAATCCAATAGGTGCCTGTGTTTATCCTTACAAACCTAAATACTTGTTTTAATTATCCTGTCACCTTAGTTGTTTTGTACAATGCCCTAAGCCCAGCACTGTTTTTCAAGCTCTGTGGGTGGGGGTGTCCTACAGGTGAGCAGTACTTTTTATGAAGAACACAGAAAGTGACAGACTGAGGCCAGGAAGAGGGAATGCGAAAGAAACTATGCAAGCAAAGAGCTGAGTATGTTTTGAAGACACAGAAAGGAAGAGACAGAGTCCAGCAAATCAATAACCAGGAAAGCAGGAGTATTACAAGGGGTAGATCTGGTCAGATCTGTTTGAAAACAAACACAGGGAAAAATGGCAGGGAATTAACCAGAACACATAACATAACTGCTGCATTCCTTTCTGAGGATGATACATACTAGCAAATTTATCTCCGTTTCAGAAGCTCTGGAAAAATAGGAAAAAGAAGAACTGCTATTTGGAAAAGGAAGCGTTCAGCTCAGAAATATTTTATGGATAAGAAAGCAAAGCAACCATGCAGAAGGCACAAACTTTCATTTTTAAGTAGTAAATTCAGTTCCAGCTGTTTCTTTCAGGAAACTGTAGGTGGGGTTTCACACTCTAGGTGGACAGAAATGAAAGGAGAAGGTCTGCTCAGGGGAAAGCTGCACCATAAATTACCCACCTGTAAATGTCTGCTGGGGTTTTGATGATGGGCAGCTCTGGAGCTGCATGGCCATTGCCACTGCTGTTCCTCTTTTTACGCTTGGCCTCTTCTTTCTTCTCACTGAATTTCAAAGTAGTATTTTTTCCTGTGTTTATTCTTACCTGAAAATTGAACACAAATGATGGTCTAGACCATAAAATCAACAATCACCAGGCTGCAGATCAACTGATTCCTGACATTCTCTTACCCAAGCAGTTGGGGACTAGGAAGCACAGGTAAGTTAAACAAATGTATGAATGGTAACATTCATAGTGTGCACTGTTTATTCTCTACCACTTGCACTAGGCTGGGGCATTTCTTTGCCCTCATGCACATATTTTGCATATAAAATATGACAGTCTGCTTATTCAAGCTCTGCTCAACAGCTGAGCTGCTCAAAGGCCAGTTTCAAGGCAAATAAGAAGTCTTTTAAATAACTCCTAGACAGGATGCTGCCTTTTACAACAGCCAGAAGCCAGAACAACAAGGCAGACATCTGAAGATCATTTTTTAATACCATATTTAGGACAATAGGATCTAAACAGAGAGGTTTTAATAATATGAAAAAAAAAACAATGTCACCTCCAGCTAGCATTCTACTACATCTACAGATCTAAAGATTTCAGGTTTACATATGGCATACATATTTTATGTAATCTCTTGAGCAAAAGATAAAAATTATTACAAACCCTTTTAGGTTCCACAGTGTGAGAGAAATAAATAGTTGGAACAGAGTTATGTCCAACATCTCTGTCATCTTCATCATCACTGTGATAAGTGGAGCCATTAAGGTGGCGCACAAACAAGTCTGAATTCCCAAATTCTTTATGGAAGTTGCCCTGAGTAATACAGTCCTCTGCCCTACAGGTCCCATTCACATCTGTGTCCTTGTCCTCCCTCTCGTCTTCAGAAGAGGTTGCATCTTCTCCATTCACCTGAACTGCATCGGGCATCCTAAGGAATGAAAAATATCTACGTGAACAGAGGCAAGTTGTGCTCTTGAGAGACGAACATACAAAGTAATGAACTCGCCTGCATGTAACTTTCTTTACCCAGGTGCTGTACTTTCAGACAGACAGTGCAACTTCTCTGTGCCCTCTAACAATGCCTGTGCCCTTCCCATACCAACTGGAGTACCAGAACTGTGACATCATGGCTAAAAGCCATGCTTGCAGATCAGAATAGATCTAAGGATGCCATAGAGCATTAAGTGGGTAACTCCCACATGGAAAACTATGGATTTTCATAGCCTGTGGGAAATTAATTTCACTTCCCCCTCTTCATCTTAAAGAAAAAAACCCAGAAGCCTGGACTGCTGTGGTTGCACAGAGGCAGATTTTAGGAGCTCTGGCGTTGCACTGAGTGCTTTGTTCGTGTCCCACCCTTCTTCCACCTATGATAATTTGAATTCCACCTGTGTGGTCAGCTCTTTGCCCTGCTGGTGAGACCCTCTGTGCACCAGCAGCCCCACAACCCTCTGCACTCCAGTCCTGCCTGTGCCACAGCAGCACTGTACCTGTCAAGTTCACCAAGCATCTCTTCTTGTCTCTCGAGCTCTTCTAAACGGGCCCACAGCTCCTCCTCTGACTGAAAACGACCCATTGGTTTTGTATCATTTCCATTTGCTGGAAAATCTACCTCAAAAACATTTGATACTTTTGGCTTTGAATGAGGTTTGTGAGCAGTTCGGTATTTTCCTGTGTAGTGAAAAATAAGATGCAATTACTAAGGTGAATGACTGAAAAATCCAACAAAGATATCCAACAAAAAACATTTGAGGGGTGGGAAAAAACCCACAAAGGAACTAAGTAAGGAATATGGGCAGAACATTTTCCATTTCAAACTATTGTTTAACTGTTTAAGTGAAACTGTCAATGAACCAGAGCAGCAGCACAGGGTAATAGTCTCCGGATGTTACAGAAATTCCAAGGCAAAGCAGAGATGTTTATTTACAAAGCAGGAGACACTGATCCTGTGACAGTTTTATTACAATGTGCGGTTTTTTACCTCTTGTGCCAAACAGTAGATTTTGATTTGATCTGATAGATATCAACATGTGAATGTGGCATTTGCTCACTGTCCCTATAACAGCAGGTTTTCTTAACTGGGAAAACAAACCTGGTTTGTATTTTAGCTCGTTTTTAATAATCACACTTAAAGAATAGAGCCTTTTTTTAAATTTACAATGAAGACCATTAAAAATGACTTCCAGAGTTACCTGGAAAATCTGATCAAAATCCAGTCACTATCAATCACTTATTTAGTGAAAAAGACCCACTCTGAAAATCATACAAAATCCTGCCTTTCAGAAATAATAAATATAAACCCCATTTAAAGCCACAGAGGTGACCTGAGATACACACTTGTGAGCAAATGGTAGTCAGTGACAAGTTCTTGCTGGCATTTAAAAGCCTTGCTCCCTGGTAAAACAGTGCATCCACTGAGGATGGGGAATAGCTGTTCCTGTTTGAGTGCTGTCTGGCACATAGGGAACAAATCCTCATGCTTCACCCTGTCTGGGTGAAGGGCAGGACTGCGTGTTTGACCCCTTTTCCCTGAGACCAGCGCTCCCAGGGCCACTGCCTGATCCTGAGAGCTCCCAGGCAGGCTCCAAGGGAAGCTCCCTGCCCTCTGCCCATCACCACCCACACAGCTCCTGCACCTCTCCCAGGAATGAGAACCCATCCTCTTCCACCACTGCCACAAATGCAGTGGGACTCCAGTGGCTCTCTGTGTTATGAAACTGCTTTGTGATTCCAATCAACAGTAGTACAATGTCTTAGTCACTCAGCATCCTTTGTGTTTTAAAATCTCTATTAACCAACTGTGCAGCCTTTTTTTTTAAATTTTAAGAACTCATGGCTTAAAGATATCCTTATTCAAATACGTCAGCTTATACTTTAATCCTGAGTTAAATACAAATTCAACAGCAACATTAAAAAGCAAACAGGTGACTGCAAGTAATGCTGGAATGTGTGTCCCCTACTCTTCCATGGGATAGCACTTTTCATCATCTCGTTAAGAAAAGGCTGAAAAGTGTTTTAGTGAGATTTGAATATAAATTGAGGTGAGCCAAGCAATCAGAGTAACTTGTGAGGATTTCATTTGCTATAATTACAAAATTAATAAATAAAATTGGAAGGATTAGTTAACAATCTATTTCAATTTGATTGTCAATTTGTGCCCTCCCAGTTTGTTACCCTTCAGTATTAACCACTGACTTGACTACCAAGGTAAGCACATGCCTTCCTGAACACCAGCAAGTGCTTTGACATGCCAGTGATTCTCCCTCCTCATTCAACAGAGCTTCAGTCAGTTAGCAAACCAGGTCAGATCAAAAAGACAACAGAGATAACCACTTTCTGCTCCAACATCCACTGTGCTCACTCACTGTTACCTCAAAGCACCATTATTACCTTCATACACTAACCAAAACATGTGAAGTAGAAAAACCCAGAAAATGGAGAGGTAGCAAGAAACTAAGGAGATGCTCAGGAAAACACTACTTGTGTTTGCCTTCCTCTGAGATCCAGCCCATTTCCACACAAACAAAACCAATTCTTGGGCTGATGAAGCCCAGCCTGCCTCAACCACTAAGCTGGTCTTTTAGCTACTTCTCTCTCAGTCACAGTACAGATTGGTGCTGAGAGAAAACATTGGTAATTTCCACTTAACAGATTTTCAGCAAAAGTTAAGAGGCTGTCAGAGGACAACAGTGACAAAGGAAGTTTAGGATACAAAAAAAGCTGCACAAATGCTGACCTGGCAGGTAGAGCATGGTGCTGCATTAACACTGCTACTGTGGGATGCATTTCCTACAATGTTACTCCTCCTATTCTGCAATGACATGTACCCATAGTAGAGACATCCCCTTAATCAGCCTTGGCATATAAAGATTATTTTGATTTATTCTAGGAAAACATAACAGTGAACTGCCCATAGCCCTCTGCAAATCTTCTCCTCCTAAAAATGCCCAGGTGATGCAATTTTCAGACTGTAAAATTACTTGTGCCTCCAACTTTGCCTGAGTCCTGTCAGGCACTACTTCAGATCGCATAGAAATTATCCAATTAATCCCTTAGCACAGCTACCTTTGCTTCCCAGTGTCCTCTCCAGCCATCTCTGGGAAGCATTTCTGCAGTCCAGGAGCTGCACACCAGGACTGCTGCTGTGTTTGCTCCCTGCCAGCCATGGAACACCCCGGGATGAGACGTTCTCCCTGTCCCTTGATGTCTCATCCCTGTCCACGCTTCATCCCCACCCTGCTGACACTGATCACATGCTTTCCCCCCTAACAGGCAGAATCTGAGTTTCTTTAGTTTCCTTCTGTTGTAAAACTCATGCTTTAATGCAAAAAATAAGTCTTCTCCAGCCCTCTCTCCTGGAGCCATCCTAATTTATTTTCTGCCTCTCTTCTACCAGAAAACTTCAAACTCCCAATGTAGACTCTTCAGAGGAAAAATATCACCCAACTGTCCAGCTTATGGCTACCAAGAAATAGCAGAGAATCCACATAAAATTGAGGGACAGAATCCATCTTTCCTGAGGATTAGTAATTTTTTTATTTGAATAAAGCATTCTTTTAATGTAAAAGATATAGTGAAATGAAGTAATTTATTTAATTCCACATAAAGAGTATTTTGCTTACTGGTATTTGAAGACATGTTTATTTTAAATCAATTACCTTTTGTTTCAATGCTATCATCTTCAATTTCTTCTCTTATGTCTACATATTCACCTGCAGCCTTTTCAGAAGGAAGGAAAGTTAAGATTAATAAGTATAATGCAGAGTATTTAATAACAGTCTAAATAAAGTAAGACTCAGAAGCAAATACAGTGATATGCAAGACAGGAACAACTGCATTATTCACACCCTTTTATCAACCTGAAAATCCATCATTTTTCAGATTTTTAAATCTATTACAAAATTAGGCTGAAACAAAACAAGACACTTACATCACTCATTTTCTGCAAATCTTCTGTGAATTCAGCTCGTGATTCAAAATTCTTCATGACTTTTTGCAAATCATCCAGTGCTTTC